GCTCCCAAGCGTCCAACTTGGCCAAGCGTCCAAGTTGGACGCCTTAGGCCCTTCCTTTGTTGGGCTTCGCGGCTGGTTCGTGATTTCGGCCCAATTTCGCTCCGTTTTGGCCCCGAACACTATTTTTCATCTCCCGGAAGCTCGTTCAAGCCCAAATCTTTATCCTTTGATGAGTTATTCCCCTTTTCTCAAATACTTGAACAAAAATGGATGATTTATGATGATTTCATGTGGAATCCCATTTTATGATTCTTAGAACGAAAATGAGAGTTTTATCCATTAAAACCACATTTTATGAGGTGATTAAATACTATTTACGTGCAATAACGTTTAGAATATGATGTAAATGATAAGAACGAAATGGACTTATCAATCTAATGACTAGAATGTTCGTATAGATCGTTTCTACGTTCATAAATGCTTGTTTGGTTAAGTTTTATGTTTGACATGCTTGAAGAACCAAGAATCATAAACCATGAAATTGATGTTAAAACTATTAATTAATGATGCCAAAATGATCTATGAACCTTGGAGAATATTTCTATATAGTTTTGACGAAGTTCGGTAACCAAAAATGATATTTTCGAAATTGGACCCGAGAGGTTGAAGAAGATGAACAGTAGCTGAAATACAGCAGGGGGGGATCAATCATCCTCACTGGATCGATCCCCTGGGAGTAAATTTTATAGTCTGGATCGATCCTCCAAAAGTCTGACCCGAAAATTTGTCCAAAAATGCTATTTTTGAGCTCTAAAATCCTATTTTTGATACCAATTGATTATGACCATTATAAAAATGATTATTCATAATAAAAATGATGTTTTTAACAAATAAAATCTTATGTGATGCATGACAATAAGTTAAGGTGTTAACACTCAAAGCTAGGTCGCTAATTGTTATTGAATATTATGTTGATTGATGATTATGTTATGAGTATTGATTGATGATTATGATGATTAAATCTTAATGAATATTCTGATTAAAAATGATAATTTTGAATGATTAAATCACATTGAATATATTGATAATTATGAAAATAATATGTATTGTTAAGGGTATCTAGAAGACTTCTATGAAATACTCATATTAATGTTGATTTGAAAGCTATCTAGAAGACCTCTAAGATATACCTATTAAGTTAGGCCTTGCGGGTATGAACCCCAGTGGCCAGGGTTAAAACGTACGTATGGGATCCAAGAACCAAACTTGAGTACCTACTCGTTTGGGGGTACCACCCACCCAACAGTGAACACTACGCTGTCGATTTTTGGTTGGCCTTAAGTGAAGGTAAGTTTAAGATTTCCAAAACCCTTTTATCTTAAACTAGGCCTAGCTTAAGGATTATTAGGAGTACTCTGTATACTGGAATATAGTTTAGTTATTTAAACTAGAATTCATTAAAGGGTTCACAAATATTAAAATGATTGGCCTTAGACTAAGAATAGTTTAAGGATATTATCAAATATTAAACATTGAATATTAATGAATAATGAATGATGAATATTGACTAATGATTATTGAATATCTGAACTAAACATTATGTGTTAGCCTTGGTTTGCTAAGCCTCATGTTTTGATGTTAACAAACAATATAAGAGCTTGACGTTTGTTTAAGTGTTTCAGGTACAACAAGAATCCATTAAGATTCGGTTCTCAAAAATGAAGTCGAAACACTAAACTAGCGTAGAATTTAGGTAGAAACCGATCCGGTTCAGGTCTAATTACTCCGGACCGGTCCGTCCGGACCGGTCCGGTTCAGGTCTAATTTCCGGTCCAAACCGGTTGTTGCACACCCCTAAAGAAAATAGCTCAACAAAGTTCGATGCTATAAAAAGTGAACTGAAATTTTATTTGTGGACCTATGGAGTAAGAGATTCTAACTTCAACACGCGCACGCCTTTCTCCTGCAGGGTTAGGTAGCAATGGCTTATACGAACAAGGGAGACGTTCTAATGCTTGAGGCGCCGCCTGAGGCTAGGCCGGCCTGGTCCAGCGGCTCAGAGCTAATTGACGCTTTGCCGTACATCGACGACGACTATGGTGATCCGAAGGTCAAAGCAGAGGTGGACCGTTTGGTCGATGAAGAGATGCGCCGCAGCACAAGAAAGCCCTCAGATTTTCTCAAGGACCTCCCTCCTCTTCCCAAGTTCAAATTCGAGGTATTTGTATCCACATATAACTTCATCGTTTCAGCGCAAATTCTCTTTTTCAGGAGCCTTGACCTGTCGATTTTCTGTTTGCATCTGGCATTCTAGCGGTTAAATTTGGAACTTGATTTGTGGCTCAAATTTGTATGCTATTTTCAGAACCATCCAATGCTTGCAAGGGAATATGAAAGGGTGAGAGCCGGGAAGCCTCCTGTGCAAATTGACACTTCAAGATATGGACTTGAAGAGCCCCAGGGAAACAAAAGGAATGATGAATCTACGTGGAAACAAGCTCTCCAGAAGGCTCAGAGCTTGTTGCAGCATCAAGTCATTAGGTATTGTTCACACTTATGTCTTACTCATTACGTGTTTGATAAAATGCCCTACGGTGATTCGTATTTATAAATGGGAAACAATCATGTGATTAGTTTATTTAGACAACCCTAAAAAAATTAAACTATGTGACTTTGTTTTGTTGTTTTATCTGTTATCCCATTACAACTGTTTGAAATAGGACTATACCTAAAATTAAGCATGTGAACTAGGACACTAACTAAAATTGAGCATATGTAAAGAGGTGTATCTGGATGCTTGTGTACCATATTGCTCTACATGCTTGTGCTTCTCAAGTAATGTGAAGTAGGACTTTAAAAACATTTAGAAGTCTAATAATGTGTGGATGCATATACACTTTGATGGCACAATGGGAACAAGGCATGCCTAAGCATGTCTCTTTAAAAATAATACTTGGCACACATGGACATACAAGGGACATTTTTATGATGATAGGTGCGAATGAAAATGGATGGTCGAGAATTCTATTTATTTTTAGAGAAGACTGTTGTTATGGTTGCACTCCCCTCATGAAGACTTTGCAAAGAATAGTGATGTTGTGAAGCTTTAAAAAAGAAACGTGCACAGTAAAAAAAGTCTCCATGTGGTAAGCTCAGCTCTAGCAACCTCCACGTCCTTTTCTTAAGATACTTTTTATTTTCTTTTTCTCCTTTTTTGCTTTCTTGACACAAGTTCTTTTTTTTAAAAAAAAATTAATCACTCGGTCAGGGTTGCGCTTACTAATTCTCGTTGTCATCATCATTCTTTTCTAATTCTGGTTCAGTCATTACTTTTTAGTTATTGTTCTTATTCTCATTTTTCCAAATGCTCATTCCTATATAATTCTCAGTCATTATCATTCTTTTCTAATTCTCATTCAGTCCTTTTTTAGTTCTTGTTCTCATTCCTTTCTAATTCTTATTTCCATTCACATTCCATCCAAATGCTCATTGTCTCTCCTTTCTCATTCTCATTCCTTTCTTTTGGCATTCTCATTTCTTTTCAATCCCCATTCTCATTCCTCTGTAATTCTCTGTTGTTTTCATTCTCATTCCTTTCTTATTCTCATTCTCATTCATTTCTGATTCTGATTTTTGTTCTCATTCCTTTCTAATTCTTATTCCCATTTCTTTCTAATCCCCGTTCTCATTACATCATACGTGATAGAGAAAATCCAAAGAGGAGTCAAGGTGAAGTGCTTTGAGTGCCGAGGTAGAGGTCACTTTGCATGATGCAGTAACAAGAAGGTTATCACATTTTCTGAATTCCAGGATCTTCTCTATTCTTAAATAGTGCTAGCATAAATAAAGGGAAGAGGAATAGGAGCACCCTGTGATTTAGAAATTTTGATCCTAAGAATACTGATGCCTGAGGAGATGATTCCACATGAATAACTATTTCATTCTTGGTGCGAGGTGAAGAGTAAGCCATAAGGTGTGCAATCTAATATCAAATTAATTACAACCACATCAACTCATCAACATAAGCCTTAGCCCAATTCAACCTATGTCTCATTTTCCCCGAAACTTTGATGTCTCTTTTTACAGCCACTATCCAAGCAATCGTTTTCCATCTACCTCGCCTTTCGGTTAAGTGTCTATCACTTCATGAGTCCCCTCTCTATGCCAGGGAACTTCTCAACAACTGATGTTGTCAAACCACACAACATTTATTCATTATTTTGTAATGGACATCCACCCATATTCGTATACAGTTACACACCCTTGCGTACATTACTGACATAGTGATATACAATTATTCTTTATTTCTGGCTTTTGAAATTTCCCTTGGTGGAGGTAATGTTACTAAAGCACCTGAGCTATGCAAGTAGTTTCAGAATGCAAGTGGATAATATCAGTTTTCTTTTGAGTTTTTGAGAAGAAGGCAAGAAGCTGAAGAAGATTGTTGGATGGGGCAGCAGATATTAAGGGGGAGGGAGGGGAGGTTTCTTTTGAGCTTTAGTGGCTTTAGTGAGTGAAAAGTAGTTATTCCAATATGAGATAGTGTGAACCATAATTGCATTTGATTTCTTCATATTATCTGTTCTTATTTTCATCCGCCGAAGCCAAGGTTGTTAAACTTGCGATCTGAGTCATAAGATTCCATGATTATACGAGTACGGTTTAGATCATCGATCCAGATCGCTGCTAAGATCTGATTTTCCCGGAATCGTTGCGATCAATGAGGCAACTCTTAGAATGATTGTCAGTGCGATACGACCCGAGAAGGTGGGCATTAGAAAAAAGAAGAGAAATATTCAAACCTGAATTGTTATCAGACCCGTGTGCTTTTTCAGCTTCTTCACGGGCGTCGTTCAACATCTTCAAGCGGTAGGATGCCTCTATTTTCCCAACTCTTCCCTTTATTTTTACTCCAGTATTTCTCAATTTCTTCCTATCTCCCTTTTTTGATTTGCATCTCCATCTCATCTCTCTCTCTCTACTTCTCAATCCAGAGTCACGACATACTATTTCCAATAGTTTTGTGTGATAGTTTTTTTGGAAGTATAAGCTTATAAAAGGCTACAGAGTACGCAACTGAGCAGTAAGTTTTTATTTTTCTCAAAGGTATACTCTTTCTTTTTGTCATATTACAGTATACTTTTTTTACACTACCAATATATTTCCTTTATTCTAGATTCAGTTAGGTTTTATTTTTCTCAAGCTTAAATTGGATGTTATGAGTATGATTTATCACTTTTTTTAGTTATGTACATGTCATATACATAAACACCACTACTACTCTAGAATCTTACGATTCGAGTTACCATCCAAAATTTACGATTCGCTTACCCCCAACGGTCTTAACTAGGATCTGGAGTATAACAACCCTAGCCGAAGCAGGGCTTAGATAATCTTTTTCTAATCTTATATTACCCATGATGGGTACAATGCCCTTATATTTTATGTATCCAGAAGTTTGAAATATTGTTGTCGTTGAGTGCCTTAAACTTTATATTTTCTATACTCCCTATATTTTATTAATGTTTATATCACCTGTTGTCACATGAGACCTACATCGCAACTTCATATTTTGTAATGCCGTCCTTTCATATCTCCACCTATATACGTCCTTTGTGTCTGTTCACTGTTCTCTTTGGTGAATGTACTTGAATGCTGCATAGTGTAGGCTGGAAAATCTAGATCTGATGTTAAATCACAGCCCTGATGCATGGAAGCTATACAACCAAGGACTGGAGGCTTTTTTAGCCAGGTATGGTTTGCTGATAAAGATCGTTTTGCTAAAGAAGAAAGATAACCTAGACTAAATTCTATTGCAGTGATTCCTAAAGTAGTGACAAGAAGCTGCTCAAACTGTAATCCTAACATAGTAATCACAAATGAAAATTTTGACCATGTTCACTTTTAGAACCTTTCATATTGAGTTTTGGACTGAATCTCTGAAGTTCTGTTTCAGAATGCAGTCGGAAGCCGTTAAGTTAAATGAAAAGATCGAAAGTGTAAATCGAGAAAGGAAATATCATCAGGTAAGTATATATATGTCAATGTTTTTTTCATTGAGTGGCATCCTAACTTGGAGTTTTTGCTTCATTTTGCAATTGTCCAGCAAAATACTGCCTATGAGCTGAATGCTTTGTCCACACAATGGAATGAACTGTGTTTGAAAAATCAAGAAATTCAAGCTGCATGCTTTGACGTTGAAAATCAGATCAATGAAATGAAAAAGGAATCTATGGAAAGGTATTTGACCTTTTTTTTGTGGTTCCGAAATTGCAAAGATGTGTTTCTACTTGTATCATTTGTTTTTGTTGATATATACTCCCTTCGACTCTTCTCTCAAATTAATTTTCTCATTTGTTTTTTCATGGAGTTTAAAAAATTGAAACTTAGTGGTTGAGATTTATGCAGGGGAATAATGTGAACCATACAATGCATGCCTTACAAGGAATGCAATGTTTTTTTTGGGGACAAACAAAAAAAGAAAGTGTTAAGTTTACTTTAGGGTGGAAGTGTATAAGTATTTAATTATATATGTTTTATTAGCTAACTTAATTACTAAACCCCCATAATAGAGTGTGATGCATGTTAGTTGGGAAAACTTGTTAACGTTTCATTTCCATGTAAGCTCATGATACTTGCATTCCCCCCATTTGTAGTTCATTCTTATGTCTAGGTCCTAGTCATCGTAGTTTGGTGTTGTATTATAGATATTTTCTATCAGCTATGTTGATGTATTTTTTCTGTTTTACTTGGTTATTTTTAATTAATGAAATTTATAAGATGTTCACAGATTTTCAAAATGTTTGTGCTGAAATTAAGGAAATTAATGGGGTACCCCAACAATTGTACACCATTTGAACATCAAAGGCAAACACAGGCTGTTTGGGCACGTACATTATGTGTGCGCGCGTGTGTGTGTTTTACTCAAAATAAAATTAGGATATCTTCACATTCTTTTTAAAGAATGAAATATGCGGTTCTTAACAACTCTCTCTTCTGAGACAAGTTCTGTTACCTGGACTCGATCATCGAGATAGACGGGGATGTTGCACATCATATTGGAGCTGCTTGGGCCAAGTGGAAGTTGGCTTCAGGGGTACTTTGCGACAGGATTATTTTGGCAGGAAGAAAGGGAAGTTCTAGAGGTCCGTCATGAGACCAACTATGTCGTACGGAGCAGAGTGCTGGGCGGTTAAGAAAACTCACATTCACGGGCTACATGTTGCGGAGATGCAGATGCTACGTTGGATGTGTAGGCAAACAAAGCTCAATAGGATTTAGAACGATGTTATTCGGGGGCGGGTGGGAGTGGCCTTTGTGGAGAGTAAGCTGCAAGAAGCTAGATTGAGGTGGTTTGCGCACTTGAAATGGCGAAATCCTGAGGCTCCAATGCGGAGATGTGAGAGGCTTGCAGTGGTGGGCGGGAATGTGGGAAGGGGTAGACCTAAGAAAACTTGGAAAGAGGTGGTTAGCCATGACATTAGACTTTTGGACCTTACCAAGGATATGACCTTAAATAGGAGTGTTTGAAGTGATATAATTATGATTTTTGGGTAGAGTCTTAGGTAGGGTGGTAGTTTTCATACTTGTTAATCTGTGCTTCATATGCTTGGTTCTCTTTCTTTCTCTCTTTTTTTTGCTTCATATGCTTGGTCCTCTTTCTTTCTCTCTTTTTTCTATCTATGCTTCTTTTTTCGTGCTCTGCACTTGCTGTATTGCTCGAGCTGGTCTCTTGGAAACAACCTCTCTACTTCCGACTAGGGGTAAGGTCTGCGTACACACACCCTCCTCAGACCCTAGCTCCGTGGGATTCTACTGTTGTTAACAAATCTCTCCTCCAAACAAATTGCAAATACTAGCATTTTACTTTTGAACACATTTTTTTAAATTGTGCAGTCAAACCATGAATATTATTCAAGGACAAAGAGAGTTACTTTCTTCTTAAGTCTGTAATTGAACTTCTTTATTAATTGTTCCTATGGGTTCTAACAATATTTTCATCAGAGGCTGGGATGAGGAAGGTAAAACCGGAAATTGCTCATTGTTGGCCGCAGAAAAGTAAGTTATATGCGATTAAAATTAATTTCATTTGTCTGCTTGTTAATTGTGGAGTTCACTATTTTGCATTGTAAATTAGCAAACCAATAATGGCCGAAAACAGTTGCGAACGTGTTACTATTATTGGAAGTGATGCTTTTGCAAATGGAATCGATTCGTCCCATTCTTTTTTTTCTGTTTTGTAACTATCATCTTTTTAGATATATATAGGCATTAATCATGATTAGGAGCAGCAGGGATGATGGGGTATTGGACCTAGAAAATTAGTTGAAAGTAGGTGTTTCAGTGTTTGACCCCGAAAAACAGCAAAACAAAGTCAAAACTTGTAAATCTAGTGAAGAAGAAATTAGATGCACATCAATTCATGGGCACCCTTTTTATCTTGATCAACAAGTCTTTTCGCATTAAGTAATATAATTTAGTCCGACTTTTTTCTCATTTCTACCAGTGTTTTTTATTTAGCCTATTTCATCAAGGATTTGTGCTACTGCAGGATGGTACTGTCTAGCTGAGAGCATAGAAGATCTGCAACCGGCCTTCATTTTAGTTTGTGCATCACGGATTTCTCTGAAGTCGCCCTTGTTATTTATGCTTGCAAGGTTGAAGATCGCTGAAAGCATTTATCTGTTGACATTTGACAGATAATTCCTATTTTGGAAAGATTATCGTCCATTTTACTCCCTTTCCCCTCTCCTATGGTTTAAACTATCGCCATAACAACTGCCGAGATTAAGTTGAATATGCATTTGTAAAATTAAGGAGATGAACGTTTCGTTCCGTTCTATTAACGATGTAAAGAAAAGTACACCCTCTAATGAAAACATGAGTTGATGAAAGATTTGTTAATGGCAGCCAATTAGAGAAAGAAACCAAAAGCAAGAGATAACAATAGCAACAACATGACTCCACGATTGATTCATCAAAAAAATATTCAACTACGAAAAGAAAGAGCAAGTTCTTGGGATCCGTCCTTTCTTGAAACGGAACGCGAGAAAGATATGCTTCCGGGAAATAAATGGAACAATTTCGGATAAGATTCCTTGGTTCTTTTTGCTCGGAGAGATGTTCAGAGGTAGAGATAACAGCTAGCAAAAATAATCTAGAAAAAATTCTACAAGGAATATGCAGCACAACTTCTCTGCCCCATACCCTTGAAAAGTAGCCCCTAATCTGCATAATCAAATCCTAGCAGAGTGGATCTCAATCCCCAAACCTTTAAAATTTGCAAGGCATTCTAGCCATCACTCAAACGTCATCAACCACGTTTATTTCTCTTCAACTTCGTATATACCCAATTGAGTCCGTATTCGTTTAATAATTGGATGTCTTTAATCGGATATGGATAATATTCGTTCAAAATGGATGCAGCTTTTTTCCATTAATCGGATTTTTATTTATCCATTTACAGCCCTACGAAAGGCGGCTACGAATACCTAATGGAACTATGTTTAAAGCTGCATGAAACTTGAAAATTTGAGCTCTCAAGAAGAATGGTTCTTAAAACAACACCGAACTCCATATAAAATAGAAATCACCCTAAATAGGACTAAAACATAGAAAGAAGTACGAAAATAGAAGTTCCATATTTTTATTCCTGAAATAGGACTTCACACTGTGACAATGTGGTTATAATGTGGCACTGTACATGTGCACATTACTATACTTTTTGGTAATGTACACGATCATATTTGGTAATGTAAATGCATTTTAACTCCTATTATGAAAATAAAAATATGGAAATCTTATTTTGATATATTTTGAATGTATTATTTCTACTTTAGTTTTTTTCCCCCTATAAAAATTATGCACCTAGAGCAGTCACAGTTAGAAAATGGGATGTTCCATGCAGTAGAGAGAAGCAATCAGTTGGGCTTAGTAACTTCAGTCCCTTTTTATAGGGATGGTCCCAAGTGAGAAAAGAATCAATATTTTAAATAAAAGGCTTCACTATCTCAGTATCTCGTAGAAAATTGGTAGTGTGGTGTTAAATACACACCTTAATTAGCTCCTTTTATAAGAATGGGGAACATTGTGTATAATTAAACAATAAAAATTATATATTTTAAACATAATCAAAAGAGCTACAAAATTAGAGGTGACATGACTATATTATTTTATGAAATGAGCGACGAAAGTAGGCAACAAAGTAAATAAAATTGACCCTATGTATAATTAAAATTTGAAATGAGCGATGAAAGTAGGCAACAAAATAAATAAAATTTGACCTTATGTATAGTAAACAAAAAGATAACTTTTAGACGGAGGGAGTAATTCATTATAAATAAATACGGGACCTTTTTCTCCCTCTGCCCCTAAAATATTGTCCTACACTCCTACTTTAACTTTGGAAAGTTTAAGAAAAGACTTGAAAAGTAAAGTGTGGGTGGTTTAACTTTGTTTAGAAAAAAAGGAAAACGATCCTGAACCACATACCTTTTACTTTAATAGGTAAGTACGAAAATAAGATAATTCTTTGGGGATAGATTAAAAAGAAAAATGAGACGATTATTTTGATAGAGAGGGACTATTTGCTTCGAAGAAAATTGCACCGGGCATGATACATCTCTCCAAAGCTACACTAACCTATTTGTTTAGATGATGTGGAAAATGGAGAAAAGAAAATACAATATGAGAAAACACACAAAATAAAACATGTTCCATTATTTGTTTACGATAACAATGGAGTGAGTGAGAAAAGTAACATGAATCCCATATAAAAAAATTTCTTACCAGAATTAGTAAGAAAATAATATGAGTGATGTGGCTTCTTCTAACCACTTGCTTTTTATTTGTTGTCCTTTTAATTTCTTTTCTCATAATTTTCTCAACATTTTCTATTAATCCAAACAAAAATTATCTTTATTTTCTCACTAATTTCTTTTCCTATCATTCTCTTTTCCCTCACTTTCTTTTTTATTATTTTTTCTCATCATCCAAACATAGGGTAAAATAGTACATTCTCACTAGGCCACTAGAATTACGCCCAACGCCTAGGGCATTTTTTGCCTTCTAACGATATGGGGTCGTTAAACACCGCCCCCCAGGCGTATTATGCAGGCGTTAAAACATTTGATGCAGTATTTGCTGCAGACGGACGTTGCCCCCCACCGACCCCTCCCCAATGGTCTAACTTTAGGTCATTGGCCAACTATTATTTTTTTTTTTAATTTTTCAACTATAAATACCCCTATATTTTTTCAAAAATAAACACACATAAAATATTCTCATTCCCTCTATAATTCATCTAAAAAATATTCTATTTCTTTTAAATCTCTCTACGAAACACCTAAAAATGGGATCATCTTAATCCGATGATGAAAGAAGAGCTCTCATATTTCGTTGTTTCGCGGTGAACTATTACTAATTGTGGAAACAAGCACAATAAGAGGAAGCGGAATCATCTCAGCGTTCAACCTGACGTGAGTGTTTAAATCGCGGTCAGGTGGCTGCACACGAAGCACTACTCAATGACTACTTTAATAATCCGTGTTTTTTAGACACCGGAGGATTTTAGTAATCTTTTTCAGATCAATTGTTATTTGTTTTTATGCATACTCTTCTATATTGAACGCGAGGTGATTTGGTTTACCCAATGATTTGATGCGAGAGGTCGGCACAGTTTTAGTATCGTCCAAAAGTGCAATGTCGCGCTTCGCCTGATGGCCTACTAGACCGCTAGCGATATGTTTGATGAAAACTTAAAGATGTTGGCTCGAAACATCATGTTATGTGTGTAAATTTTATAAAGCTGTTATTCAACTACATCATAAGAGGTATTTATGTAAGACGAGGGCAAGCGACATTGAGCAGTTACAGGCGAGGCATGCCGCTAAACACAACTTTGTCGGCATACTTGGGAGCATTGGTTGCACGCATTGGGAATGGAAAAATTGTCCCACTGCGCGGCATGTCCAGTTCTCCCGGAGTCATCATCCCAAGCATGCTACTGTGCTCAAAGCAGTGGCTTCAAATGACTTGTGGTTTTGGCATGCTTTTTTGATTTTGCATGCTCAAGCAACTACTTCAAAGTTCTGGATCAATCTCCCGTATTTGATGATTGGGTTAATGAGACTGCACCTGACTTGTCTTTTGAGCTTAGAGGGAGAGACTTTACAAGCATAGATATTATCTTGCCAATGGAATATATTCAGATTATTCTACAATTGTCAAGTCTCTCTCGAGACCAATCAGTCTTAAACGGCAGACGTACAAAAAAGATCATGAGGCGGCAAGAAAGGATATCGAACAAGCCTTCAGGGTGTTGAAGGGTAAGTGACAAATTATAGATCGTCCGTCCAAGTGTTATTCTCAAACGAAAATGAGAAATATCAGGTACGCATGTATTATTCTTCATAATATGATTATAGAGGAAAACGAGTTTGCAGTTTGTCATTACAACCCGGACGAGAAGGTGCGCCTACCTACGAAGATATCTACGAAAAATTCAAAGCCGAGAGATTCACGATGCACTACGGCGGATTTGATTGAACATATTTTTAGTCGCTCAATGTAATGTAATTTTTAAGTTTTTAAGTCGTTCAAGTGCTTTTAATCCTTTTTTTATACTAATGTAATTTTTTAAAGAGCATTAGCAATGGAAAGGCGAAAATGATACGCTACACGGTGACATGAAATATTTCAACCAATAAAAAATAACCCAGTCACCGTGTGACAAGTGAGTGGAGTGTCATAACATACAGTGGCAAGTCATTGTTTTTGTCTATTTTTACACTTTTTAATTATTTTTAATAATCAAAATTATTTTACACATCTATTTTATTATTAAAACATATCTGCTCCTTTTAAAAAATGTTTTTTAAAAAAAAAATTAAAAATAATAAAAAATTTTAAAAAATAAAAAGTTGGAGAGTCATGCCTTGCACATGGAATGAATAATGGCACATTGTCTTGCCATTGTGAATGCTCAAATGTTCTTTCTTTATTTAATGTAATTTTTTGTTTAATAAATTATTATTGTTTCAATTTATTTAATTTATCAAATTTTATTAATTTAATTTTATAAAAATGTGTAATAAAAAAATAAAAAAAAAAAATTTGAAGCTCCGAGACTTCAAACTCATTCTCAGTTAAACTATGATGTAAGTTAAATGGGAGTTAAAACTGATGTGATGGTGAGAAGACTTGAAGCCCCGATTTGAAGCGCTACATAACCGTTTCTAGTGCTCTTACACTATACCTCCTCCGTCCCTATTTTGATTACAAAATGAGAATAACGAGGTAAAATTCTACGATTTTTGAAATTATTTTATTTGTAAATTAGTACATTCATAAGAAATAAAAATTACATGTTAAAGAAATACATCAAGAATTCTACAAAATAAGAAGTGACAAGAATATTTTATTTTATCAAATAATTAATGAAAATATATAAATAAACAAAAGTTACCGAAAAAAAAAAATTATACTTCCTCCGTCCTCCATAGATCTTTCCAATAGTCCTTTTTCTTTGTCCACAATAGATCTTCTCATTTCATTATTTAACAATTAAAATATCACAGCTACCTCCACTTACTTTATTTATTACACTTCACCCACCTCATTTAATACACTCCACCCATTTTCATTAAGGATATTATGGTAAAATTTTACCTTTTTTCAACTCTCCTTAAAAACCACCAAAAGTCAAAATGAGAACATCTTAGGGGACGGAGGGAGTAATTAAAATGAGGAGAGAGGGAGTCCGTCCCCATTTTCATTTTTTAAGGATAAAGCTATTTGTAACACAAACTTTTGTATCCCATTTTGTACACCGCAAGTTTGCATCGAAATTTTGTATTGATGTAAAACTAATTTTTGTTAACGCATCAAAACTTTGTGTTCGTGTAAATTTTTGTTAACCCACCAACACTTGTGTCGGTGTAAATCATTAAAATGTTTGTGTATAACTGCGGTGTACAAAATGGATTATAATTTTTGGTTAAGTATAACATGACCCTCTTTTTAATCCGCAAGAATGCATACTCCGTATATCTTTGATTATCTGACAAATTCAGCAGTGCCTTTTGTCTTTCTCTCTCTCACTCTGCAAACACACACAAGACTGTTGTGCTGCTCCTTGCCTCCCTCACTCTCTGAATTACTCCGTACCTATTAAAGCAGCAGACCTCTCTCCCAACCCTGCAGAGCACAACTTCCGAAACCCACTCGCCCCTTCCCCACCTTCATCCCAACCCTTTCCCATTACACCAATGGACCAGGTTCAGCCGATGTTCCGGCCGCCGGAGACGCCGCGGGAGCCAATGGAATTTTTGGCCCGTTCCTGGAGCCTCTCTGCTCTCGAGATCTCCAAGGCTGTCGCTCCTTCTCTTGCCACGGGAAGGAATTTCGCCGCCGGCACTTCCTCTTCCGCGCCCATCCCGGAGGACATCGTCGGCGAGTTGGAAGACGATGCCGCCATTCTTTCCGGCAACCCTTTTTCTTTCGCTTCCTCCGAGACTTCTCAACTCATCATGGAACGCATTATGTCTCAGTCTGTAAGCACCCCATCATTATCCTTATCGTTTTATCATTTAATGAGTGTGAAAGACAGATTCCGAACATTTTGGCTCTAATCTGGGTGTTTCTTTTTCCTCTGTTTGGTCCTAATTTTTGGAAATAAATCTGGGTTTTGGAAGCATCTGGGTTGTTCTTTTGTTTTCCCTCTATTTATTCCCTAAATTTTGTCTTTGTAGACCTTATTAATCTACATTTCTCCTGATAATCACAAAGTTTTTGTTGTCATTTAAAAAAAAAGCTTCAAGATATTATGAACACAGAGAAGACAATAGCCTGCACACTTTCTGCGTCCCTGGGTTCTTTAATTTTATATTTATATATATAAATATATTATTTATTCATAAATCAGAGAGATATATTGAGTCAAACGAGGATTATTGTTGTCGATTCATACTTTTATTTTTGGGGGAATTTATTTCTAAAATATTTGGTACGAAAGATAAGATGTTATGTTTGTTTGACAGCAGGATGTATCACCACCACGCACATCTGGCCGCTTATCTCATAGCAGTGGGCCTCTCAACGGTGGCTCTCTTAGTGACAGCCCACCGGCCTCCCCTTCCCATTTGGATGACCCAAAGGTCTCTCTCTCTCTCTTTCCCTTTCCACAGAAAGCTTTTCTTCTTAGTATATATTCATAAGTGGCTCTATTTAGGATTTAATTTAATTTCTAGACTATAATAATTCTGATTTGTAATTTGAGGGGTAAGAAGAAAAATGATCCCCAAGGTTTAAACAGAATTAATGGCTAAAGGGTAAGAGAATTGTTTTATGGAGGTCAAAATTGGAAATGGAAATAGACTTCTGAAGTTTTGTGTATTTTCTTGGGAAGTTATGCCGCATAAGTAACCCACCACCAGTGAACAACCAGTTCAAGAACAGTGGTGCTACCATGGCTGGCCCCAATAATGGTGGTGGGAAGACAGTGGGAAGGTGGCTGAAAGAAAGGAAAGAAAAGAGAAGAGAAGAAACAAGGGCCCACAATGCACAGTTACATGCTGCCATTTCCGTTGCCGGCGTTGCGGCTGCAGTGGCTGCCATGGCTGCTGCCACGTCAGCAGCCGGGTCGTGCAAGGACGAGAGTGTGGCTAAGACAAACATGGCTGTTGCCTCTGCTGCCACTCTGGTGGCTGCACAGTGCGTCGAAGCTGCTGAGTCTATGGGGGCAGACCGCGACCATTTAGCTTCCCTCATCAGCTCCGCTGTAAACGTTCGATCTGCTGGGGATATCATGACACTCACTGCTGCTGCCGCCACCGGTAATTATTGTAGTAAATGCCCAATTTACCCTTTTTTTTGAAATGATTCTTCGAGTTTTTGATTTCAAACCGAGCTCATCATGAAATGTAGCTTTACGTGGTGCGGCAACACTGAGGGCTAGGGGAATAAAGGAAGTTTGGAACATGGCAGCAGTGATTCCTGTAGAGAAAGGTGGTGGAGGAGGAGGAGGAGGAGGAACTGCCAATGTATGTAGCCATGGTTGTTCAAATGGTGAACTTCTAGTGCCAGAGGAAAACTTTCTTGGCATTTGCAGTCGGGAATTGCTTGCCAGGGGTTCCGAGCTACTAAAACGAACGCGGAAAGGTGTGTGTGATTTGAGAGTGGTTCTAATTGTAAACTGAAAGCTTATGTTGTATTAAGAGTGGGTGGATGGGTTGATTCCATTGCTTATTTTTTGCAGGTGATCTTCATTGGAAGATAATATTTGTGTATATTAACAGAATGGGTCAGGTAATTAAGCCTCTCTTTTTGTTCCAAACATTCCATAAACAGAGCACTTTGTGTTTTTTCAACTGTTGAAGTGCCCTACTTTACATCATACCAAGGGTGAAAACCCACAATGATTCAACTTTTTATCCTCCCAAAATGCAATATGAACTTTGACTGGGCCTTCTTTTTCCTTTAACAGGTGATGTTGAAAATGAAGAGCAGACATGCTGCTGGGACCATAACAAAAAAGAAAAAGAGTGAGTTGGGCTCTCTTATTCCTTTCTTACTCCACTTTTTGTTTTGTCTCTCTAATGATGAGAAACACAATTGCTTTGCCTAGGGATTTGAGAAAGGCTTTTGAGTGGAATGAGTGGCAAAAAAGTGACCACCAAACTTGATTAGTGTTTTATTCCCCTATTGATTTGAATGAATGATTGCAGATGTGGTGATTGAGGTCTTGAAAGACCTTCCGGCTTGGCCGGGGCGGCACTTGGTGGAGGGCGGCGAGAACTTCCGATACTTTGGGCTGAGGACCGTTTTGCGGGGAGTGGTCGAATTCGAGTGCCGGGATCAAAGGGAGTATGAGGTTTGGACTCAAGGTGTTTCAAGGCTGTTGGCAATTTCTGCAGAAAAGAGTCAAAGGAATACACATTGAAGGGGATGGGATCAAACAAAACACTCTCTCTGTCTGGTTCAAATGATGATTGCAGTAGAAATGGTTTTAGTGCTGCCTCTTAAGCTTTAGTTAACCAATAGTTTTTGAAATTGGGTAGGCTTGTTTTCCACTATCTCTGTCCCTCCTAGTCATTTCAAGAAGTTCTTTTTGTATAAAAAAAGAAAAACAAAAGAGAGCAATGAAATGGGCCTGTTTTGATAGGCAGATGGGTAATTTGGCTTTTGTTAGCTGCTAAAGTGAGCCCAAGTAAAGCAAGAGAAACCATGTGATGTGTGTCTTTGTCTTATTTTTTTTGTGAAGTACAAGGAAAAGGGGCATCCTTGGACTGCTCCAGTCAAAAAAAGAAGGAAAAGGACCCTGTCCATGGGGTATGTCTTTATTCTTTGTGTTTTTGGGAATGTGTGGGAGCAAGGCAAGGAAGCCC